ATAAACATCTGCTTTCCTCTTGAAAAAAAACAACAGGATGGTGATCTGAAGATATAACCTCAAATTGTATGGATTGAATTATCTTATTTAACGTATTCATACAAGGTATCTGATCCCATACAATCGGCGGATTCCAAGTAGTGTCCTTTTAGAAATTTTGATTTATAATAATATTACTGCATTTATTGTTTTTATATCATTTCATTATTTTACTCAAATCAATTCTATTGTTAGTATTATTGTTTTTTATATTGATGTTATGACCGTGTTTCTTCTTCTTCTTCCTCCTCTTCTCCTTCTTCTTCTTCTCCTTTTTCTTCTTCTTCTTCTTCTCATTATAAAAATCAATATTTGTATTATGATAATCATTAGCATTATTTATTTATTTATTTATTATTTAATTGATGGTTTGTTTGTTTTTTCCGTAATTATCATTAATACTGCCCTTAATCCACATGTTATCGATAAAAATAGACGGTAACATAAATGATGACACTATAGGGGGGGGGGGGGGAGGATGATGAGAAATGGTAGGGGGAGGGGGGGGGGCAATTACAGCGAATTATAGGCGATTTCCAAGTTGAGAACCATAGATATGGGGTAGGTACATAGAAGCAGAAACAATAAATTAAACAATAAATTGGCAAAAAGATATTATTAATCCGCATACAGGAAAAAGAGGATAAAACAGCACCTGGACATGGATGGCTGGTGCCTCTATAAATAAATCATTGATGGTCAAGGTCAAGCATCCTAAATCATCAAGTCTTGGGTGCTTCAATGTGCATGGGTTTATCGCAGACATCAGTCAATGGGACTACACACTGTGTATAGGCCCAGTGACGCAAGGATAGTGAATGTACATTTACTGTGCAACTTTCTGTCGGCTATTGTCTATTGTCTCTGCAAAGTTAGTTCACATAGGCCCTTCACATGAGCACGTAACATCACATGACGTCACAAACATTGGACTTTCTCAGTTCTCTAGACAAACAAAGAGCATAGTAAATCAGTGTGCTGATCTACTCTTGTTTGTTCTGTGCGACTGTCCAGCACATAAAGCAAGCTGACAATGTCAAAAAGAAAGCACAATGCTTACAACCTCCAACTCAAATTGCAATTACCAAAAGAGATAGATGAAAAAAAAATGTTTAAGTAGTGAAAATTGCCACAACCATGTCATTCCCTACTCTACATTGTCGACAATCATCTCATGAGTAATCCTCTTTAAACCGAAAAACGCAGCTAAATTGAAAAATAAACAGCAGTCCTGCAGATTTGGGTTTAAGGGGACTCACTGTATTTATAAAAAGCTGAAACATTATTGGCTGGGTTTCACTTCATTTCAGATCCGTTTTTGCGTACCATATACAATATTTTAATCAGGAACTTTCACCAGCCTACCGCTGAAATTTGCCACTATGTTAGTAGGAATTCACCAGTAGTTTTAACTCTTCGGGTTTATTTCCATTTTACTTTGGTGTTGTTTTATTATGTTGTGGGGTTTTTTTTCGGTTCTTTCTCTTTTTCCCCAAATTTAAATTTGAAAGTCCAGTCACAAATAAATACTTGTACACATGAAACGCAGCAAAAACATTGCCAAACCGTGGACATAACATTTTTAGAATGTAGTAAAACATTCTTAGAAGAATGATTATTTTTAAGTTTGTCTTTGGTTTACATTGTCATTCAGTTGATCAGCTCATATCTGGGCTTTTCCCACCAACGCAGGCGTTTCACCAAGCTTTCTAAGTTATGACAATATCCATTGATGAGATGACTGGTTGGGACATCTTAGCTTGCCCGTTTGTGGCCGTTTTGGATGGTTCTGATGACAGGTTAGGACACCTCTTCCTGAGCTCAAACCAACAATCCTTCATGGTGATCACATTTTCAATGTATGTTTTAAGCTCAAACCTTTAAATCACTGTTTCAAATTTCTGCAAGAATAATACATTTCCCCTCCCCCTGCTCCTGTCTATATTCCATGGACCAGAAACATAATCACCCAGGGTTTTTCTTAGGACGTTGATTGCTTTTGCCTCTCGAGAACAAATTTCCCTGTCCTTTACCACCTGGATGGCCGTTTGCAGATCTTCCCAAGAATATCATAGATGTTTATACTCATTTCCCCCAAGTTTGATGAACCTCAAACAATTGGTTATTGTACACTTCTTCTGAAGAAAACTGAAGCTGGTGAATTTCACTAACGATGGTGGAAAATTTACCCAATTATGTGTACAAATGCATAAATCTAGTTTTTACAGAATTTAAAATTGTGATATAATGTTCATCTTATTTTCATCTTATTAGTGATTTTTATCTCTTATTTCATGTAGTGATTTCATATTGAACAAGAATTGTCTATACATGAGAAATATATTTAAAAAAACATAATTAATGACAATAACGTACACATGTAGGCTTACATTGATAGTGATCACAAAAGCAGATAAAATTACATGTAAAGGAAAAAGAGCACAAGGCAAGGCAGAATCAGCAAAAGACAAAGCTTAGGGGGGGGGGGCAAGCATTTACTAAATAATTTATATACACTGTATATGTCTTTGGCAGCTCTCTGCTTTGCTTTTTCAAATTGATTTAATTAGTTAATAGCTCTGATTGCTATATTATATAAATTATTTTAAAAATTTAATTAAACATCAATAAAAATTTTAAAAAGCTTTTCATTTTACTTCTTATTTTACCCCAACAGTTTCTGTGTCTACAAAACATTTAAAAAGATAAAAACAAGCACATGGGGATATAAATGAAAAATTGTGCAATTATAAATTGTCCTATGTTGCAATTTACACATGTATACAATTTCAAAACTGCATTTGCACTAAGAGCGGAAATTGCAACTTTCAAAGCTGCTAAACTGTTTATTTGAAGTGCACAATGTTAAGTAGAAATTAGAATTTACAGGGGAATTTTTAAAACCTAGAAGTTATAGTAGTCTTTGTATAAACATGAGATGCATTGAGAGGCATTTAAAAAGGTTAAAATCAGCATTACTTCAATTGGTATACTTCTCCACTTTTAAAGTAAAGGGCTATTCCCTTGGATATAAACTACAGCAAAATGCAAGGTGCACAATTTCTTTTTTATATGTGACTTAATTCAAGTATTCTGTTCCCATTCTGAGACTGGGTTCAAAGCTACATTCAACAAGTTTGAAATTCTATAAGCAAATGAGCACCAGTCCTGCACAAAATTTACATTTCAAACATTATGGTGGGCAATAGGTACATTCTTTCTCACACACAAAGAAAATATTTTTTGCAGACATGTTCCCAGACACAGGCTTGTGTAAGTATAAAACAAACAACGGAGTCCACTTAAACTGAAAACAGAGGTACACCAAAAGCAAAGAAAATCCTTGATTTTTTTTTTCTGTTTGAGCAGATTCTCTAAACCAAAAACAAAATTTACCCTTAAGAAAATCCAGCAGTCCCACAGATTTTGATTTCTTCAGCGGACTCTACTGTATATCCATTGAACCATGAAAAGATATCTCTACCAGTAATTGCCCCAACCGTGTCAATATCTTGCATTTTTTTCAAAATAATAATGAGATCAAATTTCTCTGTCCTATGCTGACCTTACACAGCAAATGACAGTTATGGCAAAATCTTCATCAAACATCCACCAGTTCAGTCCAATCATGTTATATATTTATATATATGTATTAGTCTCTGTCCTCAGAGAAAGTTGCATTTGAAAATAGCAAAAGTTGCAAAAAGTTGCAAGAAAAATCAACAAAAGTTGCAAGAAAAGTTGCAAGACGTGTATAGCCAAAAATGTCATGGAATTATTGGAATACATTGTTGGTATGCTCATTGCAATCAAAGTAATCAACGTGAGTTTTGTTAGATCAAAATCAAAAGTTAAATGTGAATGTCTACCTGTACCCAAAAAACAAAAAACAAAACCAACTGCATGGAGGTTGCATGGTGTACAAAAACAGTTTGTCCCCTGACACATGCGTCAGGTCCTTCAACTTCAACTCCCGCTGACGTTGGGCAGGTGTGACCAGCGTGGTTTTGGGGCTGTTCAAATATAATCTTACACCTTTTTGGGGATTTTGGCCCCCACCCCCTTTACACTTTTCTAACATTTTCCTCCCTTCCCCCCCCCCCCCCCCCCAAATCCCGCAATACTAATATTTATTCGCTCTTATAATAATATGACATTTATACTGCGCATTTATCTGTGTTACAATCATTGTTCTATGCGCTTTACTTTTACATTTAATAGTATTCATGAAAAACATGCATACACACATGTGACATAATAATTAAATATGGTATAAGTGGAACTTTTTCGGAAAAACTTGTAAGTGAATAGCAGAGTTTACTCTTTTTCATGTCATTTTCTGTTTTAAAAAATTAATGTTGTTATAAATTATTTTCCTTGTTATTTTTTCGCCTTATAAAATTAATTCAACCCCCCCCCCAGGCCTTTTCCAGGCGTAAGATTATATTTGAACGACCCCTTAGGGTTTTTCTGGATGAATCGATCCATGTCCAGATCTACCCTCCTGGCCTAAGATTTAAAGTCTTTCACAAATTTTTATACTACATCTATCTATCTGGTGCTACGGAACCAAGCAAGCTAAGTAATCAGACGATCGTGTTTTCGATTGAGCTTACTCTATTATACATGTATCTAGACCAAGAGTCTAGATTTAGCTAGATCTAGAAGATGATTCAGTCCAAACAGGACTATTGGGCAGGTCAGGTCGGGACGGGTCGGTTTGCTCGACAGACTGATGGCGCAAAGTGGCTATCGTGGCACAAATCGATCGCGTCCAACTCGTTGCCTCAAAAACAAACACGTTGTTTTCAGGCAACGAGTCGGGCGATCATCCCGACCCGATCTCATCCGCAACGGGCATTGGGCACCCCTTAGTGCGAAGAAAGTGGTAGATCTAATTTCAGGTACGAATTGTCCCCCTTCACGTCGTTTGTTTTAGTTGTGGAAGAAAATTTCGGTTATTTTTACCTAAATTAAATGATTATTTTTCCAACTTTTGCAGAAAATTGCCTAAAATTCGCGAATTCACGAAAATGGCAAAAGTTGCGCTGAGGCCAAAAGTTGTGTGCGCAACTTGGGGGTTGCGCGCGCGAATTTCTCTGAGGACAGTATTACAATGTCCAGTCAATCTCCTCTTTTCCATAAGCTGCCAGAGAGGAATTAACTTGAGAAAAGCATTTGCAGTCCTTGAATTTACCAAAGCTTAGAGGAGAGGGATGGGCAAACTTCAACACAGAGTGTTTACTTGAGTCTACTAGCTTTTCTTTCTTATGGGCAAAATTGCCCCACAGCATAAAGACAACTCCTTGACATTTGTCACTAACGGTCTTGATGACTGCATCAGTGAAGGTCTGCCAGCCAAATTTGCTGTGTGAGTTTGGCTCATGAGCTCTGAAATGAAGTTTAAAAGAAATAGCAAGTCATGTAAAAGAGTTGGCAAAGCTGTAACTAATACAAAACAAAACAAAGGCAGTGACTGAGTAATAGCAGTAAAACTAAAATACCATTAACAACTCATACCCAGCGCGATATGTCACAAACACATCAGTTATTTTTGACAAAAATACTGTCGCTGAATCAATATTTCAAGTTGCCGCTTAAGTTTTAAAATGCACAGATGCAAGCATGAGTGTTCATTCTTGATTAGAAACAAAAAATTTTGTTCCAAGTCATGAATGATATATATACCCATGACCTAGCAAAATCTATGGAACGTGGAACACTTTTCATTATGTACAAATTTCAGACTTTATCAAGGAAGATAGACAAAGCTGGACAATTGCGTCAAAATTTTACCTGAATTATGCCTCTTATGCCATACATGTTTGGCTCATGGTTTAAGAGTTTTGCAGAGTTGCTTTTTTTTATACTAATTTTTTTTTTATCCATCTCTGCTATGATCAGTCATTTTTCCTCAATCAAGAAGTCTTTCCGCTTCTTATGCTCCGCTATGGTCCACTTTGTACTAAAATTTCACCCAGACCTAAGTTTTTGGGAACACGAGTAAGCAAGCTTTTGTGTAGTGCGTAATCTCTGTCGAAGAGGTAGCACACTGACACACATGGCCGTCATTATTTGAGGATTGTCAAAATTTAAGAGAGATTGGGGTCTTGGGGTTCTTTAAAAAATGTTTGAACTTGCATGTAGTTTTAAGAAATGCCAATATTTTAACAGTGACATGTATACTAAAGAACAGATTTTTAGACCGTATCTAAATTTCAGGAACTGAAATTCACTCCCTTAAAGAGAATAATACAAGACTAATCCCCAATGAAAATTTTAAGTGCCTTCTTCTAAGCTTTAGTTATATTTATACGTATAATTGACAGTGAGTAATGAAAGACTCACAAAAAGCCACTTTTAACTTTCAGCAAAAGTTTCTCCAACACAAAGCAACAATTTTCCAGTTATCACATTTGGTTTTAGTTTAGTTTTAGTAACAGTTTTATGAAACTTGCAACACAACAAGGTCATATAAGAGCAGAAGGGTAAAGGTATTAAAAGAGAGTAACAAATACCAAAAAAGAAGAGGAGAGATCAGTACGATAGATGTTTCCTAGGAAAGAAGGAGCAAACCACACCACAGCACCCATCAACCGCTAAAATTTGACAGGTCACAAATAAGGGGGAGATACCTGAACAAACAGAAAAACTACTGTATGCCCCAAAGTAGAGAATTGAGAAAAGTAACACATCCAATTGTTAAATTTTTAAAAACATTTTACTTTCTTCAAACTCCATAAGAATAAGATATTATTTTCACCTGCCTCCTACCACTGCACAGCTGTCTATGAACTGAGCAGGGGGTGACTTTCTACACAGAGCTTTTGATAACTTTCTCAAGCAATGTCAAAGAAAGGCTATTTTCTAAAATGAACTACAGTCGAACCTGTGTAAGGCGACCACGCATTGTTGAGGAGAAAAGTAGCCATATTAGACAGGGGGCCTTCATACGGAGGACAGATCAAAATGAAGAAAACAAACCATACTTCTGAGATCCCAACTGAAGGTGGTCGCAGGCTTACGACTGCCGTGGGGCTCATTAAAATGTTGTTTTTTTCCTTTTGAAAGGGGGGAGAGGATAGGATAGTATTTGTGGGACTTGTTGTTGTTAGTTTTTTGTTGTTTTTTTAATTATGGTTCCATGAAACGTCAAAACAAAATTAAATGAGTCAGACAAGGAAGTCCAAATGCAATAGTAAAAAAACAAAGAATAGGTCGCCACCAAACTGTCGCGAGTTTATGTTGACTTACATTGTTATGGACTGGGTTATGGGCGGGGCTTATTAAAGGTTATGGCAGATTACACCTTTCCCTTATCAGCATCTGAAAATTTATTGTTACCCATAGGTCAACTTGGGTAACCATTGGGAGCGACTTAAGAAACATGATCGTTTTATCCGGTCGAGGAACTGACAAAAAAAAACAAGTGAATGAATTATGACGACTCGCCCACAGCGTCAAGGGAAAATGCATAATTTTTTACAAAGCCTGGCCGTCTCAGGCAGGTAAATTTGGTACAAGTGGAATCCACTTATAACGAGTCCTGAAACAACGAGAAGTCTGTTATTAAGACACTATTCTAAAACCCCGTTTTTTTCCCTTCTTTATCTTTGTAAATAAAATACTGCTATAGCGCAATCGGACAAACACGGGAGTTGGTTATACCGGAATATTGCTGCTGCTGTGCACAGCGCATAGGCTATTTATTAATGTAAAACCTCGCCAGTTGAGAAACTTGTTGGTGATCTAGCGAAAAAAGAATGGGAGAGCCCACGAGTGCCAACAATGAAGGCCTGATTGAATGAGTGGGGAGAGTGTGGCATGCACAGACAAGCAGAATGCATTGTGTGATAGGCCACCCTAGTCTAGATTATCTAGGTCTACCACGCCTCTCACTTCATCGATGCGGGGATGGAGAGGTCATAGTGCTGTACTGTGATGGACGGAGTGAATGTGTGACGTGGGCGGGGTGTGGTATGTTTCCTTTGTGCGCAAACAGATGGAACGCACCACAGTGTGTGGTGGGGTGGGGGACAACACAGAGAACTTTCTTTCTGATCGCCAACGCCGAGCTGTCAATATCGCTAGCGTTTGAGAAAGAAACCTGATTCGACTTTTGATCAAGTAAGACTTAAAGGTCATGTTGAACCAAATCATCCTCAGGGGAGATTACAAAAAGAAATAAACCGAAAACCAGACTCATAGATTAGGCCTGCTTTACTATTTTCCTTGAATTTATTACTGGGTCCCTTATAACGAGAATCTTGCTATAACGGACATTTGACACCGGTCCCCTCCCTCTCGTTATAACAGGGTTCCACTGTAATGGGTTGATAAAATAGGGTGGCCTCGGTCGTGTTGGACAGGAGCCCGTTTTACACAGTTACATTATATAGAAAAAAACCAAGGGGGGAAATGAAAAGTGGCCACTTGTACAGGTGGCCGTCATGGCAGGTTCGACTGTATTAATATTATACACTAAACAACAGTAAAAGTGTTATGCACTCATTGGCACAATTTTGATTATTATATAAAAAGTGGGCTACTTCGACTCTACCTGTAAAGGCCAATCCTGGCTGAGTGGGGTATAGCATCCAAGAGGGCAGATATTAGGATACTTGAAAAAAATAACCTCTCTGCAACATGAGTATTGACCCTAGGCCTTCTCAGGGGAGGCCGTATATCCTGGACGATTGGCTCCGTCATGGAGGCCGGGGTTGGCGACCTTATCTTGATAAGCTCGCCTCGAGACCGGTTTTTATCTTATTGAGGATCAATGTGAAAAGCGTCAATTAAAAGCGAAAGGCGGCGATAGGTAGATGCTCTAATACTAAAACGTATACAGGTGGTGGAACATTTTTGCATTACGCTTTTGCGTGCCGATAGTGTAATAGTAATGTGTGTAGTCTGTAGTGTGTAGCCGTTTAGTCTGTCTAATCTCCTAGCCTCTTCATTGTTTCGTTCAGTGCTCTTGGGATGTACACGTTTTTTTCGTTTGATTGGATGTATTTTCACTACACTCAATTCTAAGGATTAAATTTGTGCTTATATTGTGTGTTTTAGTGTTCAGCCGAGAGTCTAGTTTTCTTTCATCTTGAGTGTTATTGTTACTAGTCTAATGCTATTGTGAAAAAGTTTTCAGCTGACGTCTCCGTTTCAGCGCAAAGAACCGTGTGAGCAACATTTCAAATTTGAACATGGGAAGAAAGTGTAGGGGATAGGGCTGTAGAAGTGGTTATGCCAGCCAAAAGGGAGATAGCAAAATAATAATATAGATTTCCAAAAGACTCAGAAAAAAGCACAGTGGATCAAAAGTGTTCCAAATAAATTAATCATGGTAGAAGATGTCACGGATTACAATGTATAGTACATGGGAGTTTGCTCTCTGCACTTCCCACCTGATGTACTTTTGACATGGGCTGGAAGATTTATAGTGCCCACAGAGTCTCCATCAATATTTCCAGAAGTACCACCATCATGTTGTGGCACACCAGCTCCAAGAAAGAAAAAAGAGCAACTACAACAAGTTCAGCTTCTTCTAGAGCTACTGATATTGATGAAATGAATGTATTTAAAGAAAGAAAGATGCCTTCAAGTTTGATTCAGTTTGATCAAACAATGGATAAATGAATATAATGAAGCTGACAGCCATTGGCAATGTTGCAAAGAGAGATTATAATTAAATACACACGTGTCTCGCTCAGCAGAACACGAGATGGCCCTGTTTTTGCATTTTCGATGTATTTTATGGTTGTTCACCACACCCATGCCATGACCACGTGAAAGATGTTTCATTTGAAGCTTCACAAACTAAGGCACATCAGGCATCCAGGCTTCACTTGCGATGTTGTCACATGCTAGAGTCAGTTAGCCTAGAGGAAATTTTGCACTTAGTGTGTAACCTTCCAGAGAGGCATTGTTGGCCTGCACTACTCTAGATCTACCACTTGCTGGGTAGGGTTATTTTGTTGTTGGAAACTACAGAAAAACTGCAGAAATTGATTGGTGGCGATTTTGAGGGACTTTCCATCGACATTCCATCTTGATATTGCTATCCTAAGCTCATGCAGTTGGCAAATATTAGGACAGGCGAAGAAAAAAATAGCAAAGCTGTCATCCTGATCATGCAAACAGTAACTTTTTCAGAGGTAAGAGACGTCTTTTTTTACCAACAGCTGAGCTGATTGGTTTCAGTTATGTGCACACCATCTGAAGATCGACATGTGTGTGTGTGTGTGTGTGAGTGTGTGTGTGTGTGTGTGTGTGTGTGTGTGTGTGAAATTAATTTTCTTTTATGTTTGTTTAAACATGTAGAATGAGAACGGTGTCTCTTGTAGGCTATCCGTTGCAAGTGAAGAACCAAAGTTATCCCACTTGTGTGCCACGGTCTGTATTTCATTGTAAAATGCGAATGTAATTCATTTTCATGTTGACAAATTGATACACTCTGTCACTGATGTGATCTTCCTTTGTTTTAAGAGCCGATAAACTCTTACAACAAAGCAGCAAAAACAAAAATACATTGAATTTAAGTAAGTTTCCATGTAGGCCAGTCCAGTGAGTACAGCGCGAGAATGCTCCATCACCCGCACCAGCGCATTAGTCTAGCGCCGCTTTTCGCATAATTTACCCTCCGGGAACGCGGTAGGCCTCCAATGCCGAGGCCAATCGTCCTGGATATACGGCCTCCCCTGAGAAGACCTAGGTATTGACCTCATGACTTCTGCCTGTAAAGGACAAAAGTCTAACAACCGCATCAAAGAAGGTGGACTTTGTTCCAAGTGGAACATGAAAAAAACCCACTTGAACAAAAACAAAGAAAACGTTTTTCAAATACTCACTGAACAGTAAGTGTGGCATTGAGCAACAGTACACCTTGCCTGGCCCACTTCTCCAAACACCCATGTCCAGGGTCTTTGAATCCAGCGATATCTGTTGACAATTCTTTGTAAATATTCCTCAGTGAGGGTGGAACCTTTACACCTTTGGGCACGGAAAACGCAAGGCCCATTGCCTGTGCACAGAGATTCAAAAGAAAGTGTGCAGAAATTTTTTTTTTTAAATCAGTAGGCCAATATACCTATTCCACAAACTGTTCCAACATAAGCCTATCCTGTAGACCATGCATTGAAATGTTCATCAACTTGTAAAATCGAATTCATCTTCTGGTACACAAAAATCTGTTTAAAAAATCAGGACTTGTCCGAAGAATGGCTTATACTAGCATATGATGTATTCTTAGCAAATCCATTTTGTTAGTAGTTATAAAATACTGCTCAACATGTACATGAAGGAAGTCTCGGGCCACAGCTTTCGCTGGCCTCCATACAATGATATAAATATCATAAGGTCTGCCAGCAAGCTAGTATTAAGTGGAAAGTTCAGTTATAATAAGAAATATTAAAATTAAAGACAGACTGAGGCTAACATACAAGAGAAATATAAAAATATAGCCATTAACAAACATTAGTACAAAATAACAGTCAAATTCTTATGTCTCTTTATGAATGAGGTAAAAAAATTTAATAATGATTGGTTTAGCAATGCAATTACCTGTCCATCATCATGATAAGGATCTTGTCCAAGAAGAACAACCTTCACCTTTGATGGAAAAAACAGGAAAGGCAAAGTCATTTTCATGAACTAGTAGGCTTACAGAAAACAGCAGGAAGAAATATACTTCCAAAAGAAGTGAATTAAAGCATGTGGATACATTTATCCATACTCTTAATAAAACGTTAATTTTCTTCGAGTGTCTCCAGACTCAAATTTTCTGATTAACAGGGTCTGGAAAGCGAAGCTGAAAAGCGATTAAAAAGAATTCACACCGCTTCAGTTCAAGTAACAAATTTTACCTCTATTTAAAAGGAGATCTCTTCTTTTTCTCAACGATTGCAATAATTAAGAATCCAATTGCCTTGAATTTAGAGTCTTACTTAAATGTAGATGCTACAGTCTAGCAAGTACATGGCAAAATCCAGAATTTCACTATGTTACATCTTTTATATGTGCATGTTTACTATATATATATATATATATATATATATATATATATATATATATATATATATACATATATGCTCGAAAATCAAACTTCGGATACGTAAAAGTGTTCAAACAATTTTAACATTCCTGATTTTATATTTTATGCTCCCAATCAAAACGCTGAAAAAACAAACACAATCATAAAATTACGTTTTCTCTGAAGTAGGCTGTGCAGAAACATCCTGGTCCCTGACATCAGGTTTAGTTACCAAAAAAATACTGCAGTAGGCCTTGCACCACAAGAAATTATAACCTTTCTTGACAATCTTGTGTCGATTGACCATAGCTTTTTGGACATTCCTTTTTAATTGTCCTTCTATTCCTGTTTGAGATTTTAAGGGCAATTTGGAATATAACTCCAACAGTACATATAGTGAAATTGTACGAGTCGTACAACTATCATGTAGCTATAGCCTAGTCTAGATCGAAAATAGCAAAATATGCAGGATGCTGAAACTTTTTTTGTTACATACTAATTTTTGTATCATGTAGGCCCTACATGTTTTAAAAACAAAAAATTAATACATGTGTACTTTTTAAAAACTAAATTGGGGACCTGAAACTCTGTACGAAATGAACATGTTTTGCTACATAATTATAATCTAAGCGTGTATTTGTTTATTTTTTTGCTTCCAGAAAAAATTGTATCAACTAATGCTAATAATTAAAATAGTGAAAGCATAATTTTTAAACATTCATGTTATTATAATTGTACCTTTTTCAATGGGGTCAAAGCAAGAGCATTGAAGATGAGATCTTTGGGTGGAAACACTTGGACATCGGGGCCTGAGTCAAATTCCGTCATTACAGAAATTTCTAAATTCTTGAAATAATCTTTAGAAAATTCTGGTTTCAGGGCTTGTTTCCATTCCTGTTCTTTAAGCAGTTCAGAAAGACTGCCCGGAGTAGCCATCTTTCCTTTCCTTTTCTTTGGAGATGCTTGTTGATCTGAAATAGTACAATATCTTTGAGATTAAGAAATCTGCCGAGACACAAATGCAAGGCTTAGGAAAATAAGAGATATTTGCAAGACATAACAAATTACAAGGCTGCATATATGCCTCTGTGAATGAATAAATAATTTTTTACAGTACCAGCACACTTTACTTTAAATCACGAAACCAATTTAAAAGCACGACAATCAAGCAGTCAATGACTGATGGGTGTGGGTGTGTGTGTGGGCGGGGGTGAGAGAAAGAGGGAGAGAGATAGAGAGAGAGAGAGACACAGAGAGACAGAGGCAGACAGACTGAATGACAGGGAAAGAGCAGGGAGATGAACGAGAAAGGAGGGATACAGGGAAGGAGTGATTGGGGGGAATGGGAAGAGTTGGGGGAGGGGCGAGGGGGGCACGAAACCACCAAAGTGTTGATTTTCTTAAAAGAAAAATCAAAGAAATTGATCCCGCACATGTAAAGATAAAAACTGGCTTGGAAAACCAGTGAGGTATTTTGATACAATTAATTGTACTCAATTAAATTTGTATTGCCAAAAAATAATATAATATAATATGTGATACTGATGATAATAATGAATAATGTATTTTAAAATGATAAAGACGAATAGATGATGATAATGATGGCAATCTCCGGTTTCAGCTCCAAGCAAGAACACTGGAATATTGATAGTAATTTTATTTTAATTAAGGGTAGGCTTAATGGTGTTAGGGCTTGCGATATTAGTAGGTATAGCTATTTAGGGAGGACTTCCGTAACGAGCGACCACTATGAGACAGAGCAGATTTGAGGGCTAGGGGTAGGGGTAGATCTAGGGGTAGGGGTAGGGTTTGGGTTACGGTTAGGCCTCTTCTTTACTGTGTTTGATGGGGTGGTCGCTTGTTACGGAAGTCCTTCCGCTTAGATTTATATATACTATAATATACGAGGTCATGTAAGATCAGGTACATATAGGATTTGGGATGGGGTAAGTGGGGATGTCGGGTGTAGGTTTAGTAGTAAGGAAAAGGAGTTGGGTTAGTTTAGGATTTTAACATCCTTGGACTAGGGCCAAAACCGAATTATCCCATCATCATCATATAATCACAGTAGGCCTGTGACCTGTGCACACCGTAGGCTGTACTGTAGTGTAAGACATTTCATTTAATAAATAATACGGAATAATAATGGACCTTTTGGCTGAACATCGGCTGCTCTCTTTTGTTTTTTTGGCGGCATTTTTAATTAAAAAGATGTTCTTGTTTACACAGCTGTCTGACAGTCTGAGTCCGAGTCCAATTTTACGGGCCTGTTGTGCTCAGTCCACAGAATTCTAGTTCTAGAAAAAATTATGAATGGTTCAGAGTGGGTGTGGCAGTGTGAAGCTCTTTTACTTGGTAGGTCTATTTTTTTCCTTTGTTTTGTCAACAAACAAGGTTGTGCAGGGCATGTCCAAGCAGGTCATACTACCAGTTCCCCGGTAGACTTAGCAGATCGACAACGCAAGCCTCAAGTCACAGATTAGCTCTTGTTCAATCCTTTATTTCATTCTTTGCCCATTACCGCGGCAGCGCGACAGCACCATTTTCTCTCATTACCGATACATCGGCACCGGCTGTGCACCAACTTTATTTAGTTCGTAAATGCTTGATCCATAATTTTATTAAGTTTTGATGAAACAAATCTCAAAAGTAGAAACTTTCTGCAACTGCAACGAAATATAGTGTCTATAACTACGTAAGTGGGTGGAATGTTGAAATCGTTGGAATATTTTGTGTGGCTTGTTTGTGGAACCAAAAAATGAAAGATGGCCACACTCAAATCTAGTTCTAGCTATGTTTCAGCTGGTATCTAATAACCCCATAGGCATCAGACCAGGGAACTTTTCTTTAATAAACTTGAGGACAGAGATGACAATGACTTAGAATCATTCGATGTTGATTCGGGACGGACTTCGTAACGAGCACAATAAAGAACAAACAAAGACAATAAAGAAGAGAACTAGATCTAACCCTAACACAAACCCATACCCTACCCCTGACCCTAAACCTACCCTTACATACCTAACCCTCTATTCTACTCTGTCTCAAAGTGGTTGTTGGTTATGGAAGTTCCTCGGGTGATGACTGAATCGAGAGTGAGAGGTGTGACAAAAGACAATTTGTACATGTATGTATCTAAATCTACAGTGACAGTGAAGAGGCCAGTTGAGTTGAATATAAAGGAGTGAGTGGATAAACTGGGAAATGAAAGGGAAAGAAAGCTAAGAAAAGTGAAAATCAAGAGGATAATGACATATAGGTCTAAATCTAAATCTAAACTTCGACATACAAATGCAACTCGGGCAAATTCTAATTCGTTACAACTTTTGGTATTATCACAGTGATGTTACAAAATTGATAATAAAATATGTTAGAATTGTACAATTTCATCACTTTTTGCATGAACAAGCAGGGCATTGAATGTAACATTCATAGCATGGGTGCAGGAATGTTATTTTGAAATATATATAAAGGTCATTATTTACATATTCAAAGGAAGAAACTTGGTCTGCCTTTTTATTAGCTCGACCTGTGATGAATGTGTTCTCTGACAAGTATCAATTTTGTACTTTGCCTAATCAGATTGTTTTTACACATTTCAATGTTACATTTTATTACCTTTCAAAATACGTAGACACTGAATACTTATTATTTCATTTTACATATGAAAATCCTTCTCAACCCTACACACCAATAATACTTTAATTCACTATCTGGTGCTCAGAGAAAACCAGTGAAAGCTGGTAAAAAAAAAACCCAAAAAAAGGAGAGATCGAATGAGTTATATCACATGCGTCCATTTTCATTTTACGTTCCACACACACACACACACACACACACACACCAAGCCGGGGCCGGGCGCAGACACAGAGATTTAATTTTAAAATTAAAATGAAATTAATGACACCTGTCTAGTACTCTTACCTGCTGGGTGATCCTTATTTCGCCAACTAAAATTACCAAATTGCCCACAAGTTGGAAATACCGCTCAGATTGGCAAATAGATCTAGATCTAGATTTACTACACGATGCCAATCTATTTTCAGAAAGCCTCTAAACTCACGTCGACGAGACAACTCGCAACCGCGAATTACTCGGAATTTATACACGTAATCAGTTTTCACTGAAAATCCCTCGCACACCGCGAAGCCGCTTGAAATAATGGGAATCCCCAGTATGATAAATTCAAAGCGTAGTCTGTATAGTCCTCATATACCATGTTCGTCTTTATGCTTCCTTGAAATGGCTGCCATAATAATCATAAGAAATCAAGGATACGCCTAGGCTACAAATTTAAGAAAAATATTAGAATATTTGCGGTTAAGTGTATGCCTACGATATCCCTGCATTGCCCCTGCCCTAGGCCCTGCTACTTTGATAATGATAATATTTTGATAACACTAGATAATAATAATAATATATAGTTCGGGAAAATAAAGTTGAACTCTATTTCTCCGAACGGTTCCCGATCTCGAGATATTTTTTTTTCGTTATTTCAAGCAAGATTTAGGCGTCAATGCGTCATCCTTTCATTTTGCCATTCTGCGAGGACTGGGATGAAGTTTTTTAAAAAACAAATTCAATTTCTAGAGCTAGAGATTTTTAAATGTCTGAATATTCCGATACTTCATTTGTGGCTGGGCAACGTTCCCGGACTAGATCTAGATCTATACATCATTTAAAAATAAAAAGGTACTGCGAGAAAACAAGACTGCTTGACCTTGGCAGTAACCTATTTTTTAGTCTCCCAACAAAAACTAAAATCCTCCAGGTAAAAAAAAAATTCCTCCACGC